GACTTGGAGAAACTTAATGCATTATTGCTCACTAGTTGTTATAATCTGGTATCAGTGCCATCATTGGAAAAGATCAAGGAATTGAGATATTTGGACCTCTCGGGTACTCTTATTGAAGAAGTACCCCAAGGTATAGAGAGCTTAACCAACCTCAAAAGCCTATGTTTGTCATGTGAAAATTTAAAGATGATACCGATGGGGACTTTGCATGGACTCTCACGTCTTCAGCAGCTCACGTGGCCAGATCATTTAGACGTACCAATAGAAGAAATTGAGGCATCGTCACGGTTGGAAGTATTTCAAGGCAGGTTAAATAGCATACGTGATCTCAATCGGTTAATCAACTCACGAAAAATTGGCGAGCAATCCTTTTTGTACAATATTAGAATAAGTTCTCGAAAAACATTCAAACCACGAGAAGATCTCATTTTACGATGGAAACATTTGAGTTTTCGAAAAGACAGTCTCATGGAATCCTCTTTAGACACAGATAAGTATATGCTACCACGATATATTGAGATTTTATCATTTTCAAGAAGTGGCTTGAGTGGTTGCTTATTAGATGATTTTCCAATGTCGAATTATGCTAGAGATTTAAAAGAATGCTGGATACAAAAGGAGGATAAAATAGAGTGCATCATGAGGTTAGAGAACGAACAACACTCTAGCACTGGGGTCCCATTCCAAAGCCTTAAAACGATGTATATGAGTGGCTTGCCAAATTTAATCGGTCTCTTCAAGTGGGAAGCAGTCGCACCTCTTCCACCTGGCACATTTTCCTGTCTTGAATATTTGACAATTCATGGTTGTGGTAAAATCGAGAAGCTTTTCCCTCAGAGTTTGGCACATAATTTCCATAACCTCCAAGAATTGACTGTCGAGAACTGTGTACAAATGGAGGAGATAATAGAAGATGACAACAATGAAGGAGCTGATATCACATTGCCAAAGTTAAGGAACTTGTATCTGGAGAATCTGCCACAACTAAAGAGCATCTGCAAGGGAAAGATGATTTGTGATTCCATTGAGTCCATTAATTTGAAGGGCATTGATAATGTAAAGGAATTGCCTTTAAATTTACCGCTTCTCCACGGACAACTATCTCCTCCCCCACGTCTTGAAAAAATAGTCGTAGACGACAAAGAATGGTGGGAATCATTGGAGTGGGACCATCACAATGCCAAAAATGTCCTTCAACCCTTGGTTTCTTTTGAGAATCCGTTCGAAACAGGTACGATTCTACACTATTTTCAACAACTTATTTC